GCAGAGATGTGGTGTGTTTGGGCTGGCTGTGCCCATGAGATCACCAGGAGCCAGAGGAAAGCCCTGTGAGTCAGCTCCAGGTGTCTGCAGTGTCTGAGGCTGTTGGGCAGTGCAGGAGGCTCAGACAAGGAGCTCAGTGTTAATCACCCTGCTCTGTCAGGCCTGAAGTGAGCAGCATGTCACACCTGGGATTGAGTCTCTAGTGCAGAAGGGGACCTAAAAGGCAACATGTGTCTCTGGAGATGCACTTGTTGGGTGTTTTCATTCTGTTTAAAGGACTGCTCACAGTCACTTGTGACACAAGGAGTCTCATGGCATTGGGCAGGGGAGCTGCTGTGATGCAGCACGAGGGCCCATCCCTCACTGTGCCCCTCTGATGTGCTGCTTTCACTGGGCCGGAGGAGGTGCTGGAGTCCTGCTTGTCCTGATGTGTGCCGGATGTGGAGAACCCCCGCCTCCAGATTTCTCTATTCCCTGTAGAAGTGGTCTTGTCCTCCTGCAAGGCAAAGGCAAGGAGTGAGCTGGAACTGGCCTTCATGCCCTGTGTGGCTTGTCAGCTGTCCTTGAGAGCAAAGTGCTAATGGGCCTGGGACTGTGGAGCCTGGCATCATCCTGGCCCTGTCAGCAGCCTCAGACAAGCGTTTCTTCCCTCTCTGTCTCCTCTCCTCATCCTTCTTCTAGCATAAAAATAATGTAGTGGGTGAGGCCAAGGACCCATCTAAGCTCATTTTCCATCTTGGGAGCAAAAGCAAACAAATGTGTGTGATGAATTCCACCTCCACCTCATTTCTGGGTCTGGGGATTTCCTGAACTTGATGATTATCTGGTAAATCCCAATCAGGATTTGCTTTCTGGGCATTTATTCAAGCTGTTCTCGGGTCTCTGCATCCCCAGTCCTGCTAGTCACCTGTAAACGAGCAGGCTGGCTGGCTGGACCTGGCTTGGAGCAGGCAGCCTCCATCATCCACCCTCCCCAGGTTCCTGTGAGCTCATCCTGCTCCACTTTGTTCCCTGCAAGTCTCTGGCGTGCCCGGACAGCCCGGCTGTCCCCAGCCAGCCCCGC